GTGCTCATTTGTACATCAAAGGTTTGCTGAGCACAGCCACAATCCGGAAGCTTTTGTGCACATGATCTCATTTTGTCCACCCACAATGACCCTAAGAATATAATTGTCCATCCCCATTTTACAGATGTGAAAACTGAGGCTCCAAGAAGCTGAGGTTCCACAGCTAGTTGGTGACTCCAGGTTCAGGTACGTAAGCAGCTCTAAGGCTGCAAGGAGCCTTCACTCACCTGAGCATAATTCATAGGGTGATGCCCACTGGTCTGACTTTCCTAGGAAGCAAGAACTGGGGGAAGGCCAAAGGTGGCCTCTATATTGACTTTTTGGTTTGTTTTCACATCTGTTGAAATAATGGCCACCATTAGGTGGGCCTCATGTTTTCCCTGTGGGTTCCTAGCCCTCTCTCCTGCACAGTAGCACCTGAACAAACAGATCACTCACAACCCAAGCCCATTTCTTTGTTCTGCTGTTGATTTAGATCCCAACAGGGACTATGGCAGCTCTCTCCCAGGTGTTGTAAAGTCAGGGACCTCAGGCCAGGCCACACCTTATGAAATAGGAGAAATGAACCAGTCCCCTACCTGAGCAGGACCCCAGAGGAGGAATAGCTCTTGGGAGTATACTCATTTCCTTATAACAGGCACTGAGAGGTTGTGCATATTTAAATAACTAAAAACAATCTGAAAAACCACTATTTTGAATTGGTTTTATTTAATCTTACAGAAACCTGATTGGAGTTTGGTATGTAGTTATAAGTCCAGTAACAATTCTACAAAAATGGACATACAATGCCGGAATTCCTTCAAAGCAACAATATCATAGTCCTTTGCATAAAACATGCATTAACTGCCACATGTTGGCCAAAATCCGTCTCCCCGAGGAGACGGTCCAATGCAGTCAAGAAAACTAGCTATGAACAACAGGTACAAAAGGAGGTGTTGTGGTTAGTGTAAAAGGAGGAACAGTACCTTTCAGAGAACAAGCCCTTCGGCACTGGGGGATTTGTACTGTGTTGCAATGTAATGCATCACCTCAGACCTGGTCCTGACCTGTCAGGAGGAGGAACATTCTGGTAGTTACACATTTGAGAAGATATAAACTTGCAGGCCACAATGGTCCACTACTTGTGCAACCTTGCAGAGGGGGCGCAGAAATCCTGACTTGGAAGAGTTTCCTAGCTGGGGTTGTAAACAAACTCAAAGACACTCTGAGCTTTCCAACCTAGCCTTTCACCCTTTTCTACAAGGCCAGCCCCGGGCACACAGCATCTCCGTGGCCATAAGACCTCCAGCTCCACACCACTCTTCATGAGGATCTGTAATTGGGTGTGATGCAGAGAAACATGGGATGGATCATTTCTTTGAGGCCTTGACTTTCTGTAGTTCTCATTCACCGCATCCAGGGATCAGTGGACACTCGTCTACATGGCTGCTGAACACACAAAGGGATATTAATAAACACTTGTGGCCCCCAAAGCCTCAAATGCTTGTAGTCACATAACTCAGTTTGTCATCTACTGTCAGGACACACCTTGTTCCTCCAGAGCAGGGGTGGGGAACCTTTTTTTCTGCCAAGGGCCATTTGGGTATTTTATAACATTATTCACAGGCCATACAAAACTATCAACTTAAAAATTAGCCTGGTGTATTCGGCCAAACATTTAATTAGCTTACCCCTAATGCCTTGGCAGGGCCAGACCCAATGATTTCCATGGGCCTTATATGACCCAGGCCAGCCGTTCCCCAGGCCTGCTTCAGAGGAAGCAACTCCGTTTACCAAAGGGTGTTTTCCCCATAGACTGAAGGGCTTTAAAGAGATTTCAAACCAACTGAAAGGACCTCCCTTCCAATACGGGTTTTATACAGCATTCCTTGAGGTTCTTCAAAAGATCTTAGTCATTAGGGAACCAGTTGTGGGCATTAACGCTTACACACATAAAGCTCATCATTCGAGCAGCCTAGGGAGTCTGCCTCTCCCACAAAAGGGCTCTCGCTGCCCTGCTCACAAGCTAAGCCAGTATCTTTTCCTTCAGCACAAGTTAAGGGGGGAAATAATTTATTAGGGTTCTAATAACATTTTCATAACAGAACAATATCAAAATAGGTTTGTTTTTAATATATGCTTACGAATATCCCTGATAATATAAAGAAATCCAGAGGACTTTGTAAACCACCGAGATGTCACAGGGTAGTGCCCGGTCTGGTTTCTAGGCAGCAGGAGAGGGACTACTGTATGGCATGTTTTCTCCAGGAAGCCCTGTGAGCACCACAGTTCTGAAATTCTAACATGCTAGTGCCAGCAGAATTGTGAATGACATTTTCACTCTAAATTTATTAGTAAAATTCCTATCAAAGGTTGGCTTCCTCAATCCTGCCATCAGCCAATCTCCCTGCCTATAACAGGCCACAAAACCATCAATCCTGGCCACTCCAGAGGTTGAGCCCAGAGGAAACAAGTTGTGAGACCCCTTGTAAGCCGTGACCCAACCTCAGAAAGCAGGGATGTGGGAGAAGGAGCAGACCAGGCTTGAGGAAGCTCTGACCCAAGGCACCACGATCACAGGGGTGAGGGGACCTAGAGAGGTTCTAGCTGCAGGAAGATGCCCCCAAAGCAGGTCCTGGAAGACAACAGCTCTGTGGCAGAGTAGACACATTCGGGAGTTAACGACCAAAAAAATTAGAAAAGAAACTAGTTTACTCTCTCAAAACCAAATCAAACTTCTTAAAACTTATAAGCAAATAACCCTGGATAGACTGGGGGTGTGGTGGGGGCTGAAGTCTGTGGAATGAGTTGCTTTTAGCTGAGTCAGAAAGAATGCTGGTTGTGAAATCAGCATAAACACTGTGGCTACTGCAGTTAAGGAGAGTGAAGGAAGCTCAAGGTCAGAGGAGGCCTCTTCAAAGAGAGGATGGAAGAGGAGCAAATGTGAAATATGCCTCTTTTATTCCTGGATCAGTAAGTGGCATTTCCACCGCCTGGCTGAGAAGGCGCCTGGCTGAGAAGGCGCCGTGCTCCAGTCTAGCTGCAATAATACTGCATCCCATCCACCCTTCTTCTCTTTTTGGACTGAAACTCTTCAAAGAACTGCTGGATGTCCTCTCTCTTTACAACCTGTTGATGAAAAGGAGATTAGGAAAGGGAACTACATTACAGAACAACAATAACTGGTCGTAATGTTCACACACAAGTCAAACAATATTGCAGTAAGGATTATTTTAATGGGTAATTAATTACATTATCTCTAGTTTATAGAGTTCATCCAGGCTCATGGTTGGCAAACTGTGGCTCATGAGCCACATGCGGCTCTTTGGCCCCTTGAGTATGGCTCTTCCACAAAATACCACGTGCGGGCACACACGTACAGTGCGATTGAAACTTCGTGGCCCATGCGCAGAAGTCGGTATTTTGTGGAAGAGCCACACTCAAGGGGCCAAAGAGCCGCATGTGGCTTGAGAGCCACAGTTTGCTGAGCCGCAGTTTGCCGACCACTGATCCAGGCTCAGAGACTGACCTGTTCAGATTACACAGCTGGCAGAATAGCATTAGGCACCGAGCATAGGTTCCACCACCTTACTGGGTTTCCTCGTACAAAATGAGAGAAAAGCAGCACCAGTGTGAAAGGGTCATTGGAGAGAGGATGAGGTATGGTGCCTGTGGAACACTGCCAGCACACAGTCAGTTCTCAATGACTGGCAAGAAGAGTGGCAGGGCCAGACAAAGACTGAGAACCGGGAAGGTCTCCTCAGCCACTGCTCCCTCTCATTCCACCACTGCCTTCGGGGAATGTCCCTCCATTCTGAATAAGCACCCACAAAACAGCAGTGTTTTGAGATTTGTGTTCTTTCCTGAAGAAAAAGGAACCTGAAAACTTTAACCTCTTCAAGAGTCCAAAATTAAAGATGCTTGTACATGAATAAAAAAATAATTGGAAAAAACTACAGAAGCACTACTCTTAGTGAAAGGATATCCATTTTATGCAATAAAAAATGAAAAATGTATCTTTCATTTTACTGGAAAAAGGATTGGAGCACGATACAAAGGTGTTTACGACAGAAGCAAAATAGAAATTAAAAGTAAGAAAATAAGACAACAGTAAACTGGAACAGCCCAGACGAAGTCCCAGCTCACCCAAGAGTGAGTCTTGTCAGTGATCTGACCTAAAGCTAAGGGCCATCATTAAAAGACAGGTCTGTTAATTACTTTTTAATTACAAAGGTAACACATGCTTATTGTTCTGAAGAAAAGAAGATGGAGCATGAGGGAGAAGTAGCGAATGCATATGAGCAAGAGAGAGAGGTACAGGTGTGTAAGATGAAAATCTCCCTTTCTCGCTCTCAGGGTAAGTGCTGCTAACATATGCAAATGGAGTGCTAACGGGAAGAACTTCCGTGGTAAGGTATTTATGCTCTGATCGAGTGGTTGGTTGGGACGTTGTCTTGTACACCAAAAGGTGGCGGGTTGAATTCCCAGTCAGGACACATACCCACGTCGTGGGTTTGATCCCCAGTCGGAGCCTCTACAGGAGGCAATCAAATCAATGTGTTTTACTCTCTCTCTCTTCCCCCCTTTCTCTTTCTAAAATCAATTAAAAAAAGAATGTATTTGGAAAAAAAAAAGATATTAATCCTCTATATGAAAGTAAAAATGTGGGTCAACTGGTGAGGAATTAGAACCCCTAACAGATTCAAGATCTAGATGGCTAACACTCTGAGATGACTGTAGCTCAGAGCTCCAGTGGCTTCTCTGAAGCTACAACCACTCTCTCCAGATCCTGTGTGGCTGCTCGTCCCCCATTCCTTCTGGCCTACAGTTGGGAAGGGTGCCCAATGTGGCTGGACTGTGGATGTCTCACCACCTCTTATTGATTTCCGTTAGCTCTGCCTGAATTAAACTCTCAAGTATCCAGTTTAAGATGCATGGTTTTGTTTTGTTTTTATCAAAGAAAAGAAACAGTTTATTCAAAACACACAGGACTATGATTAAAATTCTTTAACTCAACATACCGTGCCTTCATCAGCAAATCTCTTCAGATAGTCTTTAAGTTCAGTCTTCAAGTCATTATATTCTAAATCAAAGCAACAAAATAGGCCATTGGCTTTTATAAACAAAATATTTCTTTATTCCCCAACTTGAGTAGAATTTAAATTTTAGTTAATAGTTTAAATTTTTTAGTTAACAGTTTTGATTTTTCTTTAAATGAAACCTGCATAGAAATGTGTTCCCCAAACTCCTTCATTTTGATATAAAAAGTGATACTTCTTTCATTAAAACAAAAAAAAAGCTCAAAAACCAGAGATAGCCTCACTCCCAAAAAGATTAGCAAAGGATTTTAAAAGGTTTTTCTATCTCTCTGGAATTCTAATATTTGAAATCACCTCAGATTTGTCAATATTGCCCTAGCAGGTTTGGCTCAGTGGATAGAGGTTGGCCTGTAGACTGAAGGGTCCCTGGTTCAATTCTGGTCAAGGGCACATGCCTGGGTTGCAGGCTCGATCCCCAGTAGGGGGCGTATAGGAGGCAGCTGATCAATGATTCTCTCTCATCATTGATGTTTCTATCTCTCTCTCCCTCTCAGAAATCAATAAAAATCTATTTTTAAAAAGCCTCTCCCTTCCTCTCGGAAATCAATAAAAATCTATTTTTAAAAAGTAGATTAGTGATTGCTTTTAAAAAGAAGATTTGTCAAATATTAAGTTTTAAAATTTGTTCACTCAACAGTTTGCATTATGTACGAAGCACCTTGAGGGCTACAAAAATCATTTAGCTGCAGCCTCCATCCTCAAAAGCTTTTAGCCTCATAACGGGAAAAGGAGTCAAATAGTTACAAATAAAAGATAGAAACAATAAATGTCATAAAAGGGGCACAACAGGTGGTGGCATCCCCGGAGAAAATGGCTGGGACAGAAATCACTAACATAAGTTGGGCACACTGTGGGGAACATGTCAAAGCCTGCAATTAAGAGTCTGTGAGCCACTGAAGCAACCTCAGGAACTGTCAAAAAGATGACATGTAATGCCCAATGAAATGCTCTTTTCTCATTGGATGAGAAAAGAAATTGATTCTCTAGGACTCTTTACTCACACACCCACCCTTAAGACACAAGCTGTGGTTTCTTAAGCATGAATTATTCTAGCATGTAACCCATAATGGCAACTAAATACCCAGCAACATTACCCTTAAGCAAGTATAGTTGAGGTCTACTATACAATTCCAAACTTAAACTTTAAAACAAAAGGTATTAGTTGTTCTCCTTACATATCTATTTTTTTTCAATAGTGAGGGAAATATGGACTTCATGAATTTTCACACTCAAGCAGAATTTACCACAAATGAGTTCCACTTGCTGGACTCTGTTCATGCTGCTAAGGGTGTCCATTAAAGGATCTGTCCTGCCAGCCGCCTGGTCAACCTTGCCCTTGTTTTCATAAGCCAGAACTGTGTCATATTCATCTGTCAGGAACAGGACATCTAGATCGCCATACATTTTCTTTAAAAAATAAAACCAGTTTCCCCATTAGAACAGCATGCCATTTTCACAGTCAATCCCTGAAAATTTATTTTTAAATTAACTGCCAGAAAAACCTGAGCCTTTCCCCACAGAGTTGCTTGAGTGTTTTATTCTTTTTTGCCTAAATCTTTTAGAAATCTCTCAACTTCCTAGTAGGTGCTGTATGGTCTAAGGCATCGGTTCACAACCTGTGGGTCACGACCCCTTTGGCAGTCGAACGACCCTTTCACAGGGGTCGCCTAAGACCATCCTGCATATCAAATATTTACATTACGATTCATAACAGTAGCAACATTACAGTTATGAAGTAGCAACGAAAATAATTTTATGGTTGGGTCACAACATGAGGAACTGTATTTAAAGGGCCAGAAGGTTGAGAACCACTGGTCTAAGAGATCTTTACTTAAAAACCACTGACTTACTGTAACTCTCAACAATTTGTGTTTCAAGCAATTTTATGATATAAGAAAGCTAAGAATTGCTATTTTTCCACTAAAATGAAGTAAATAAAAAGTAATGCATAATTCTGCATTTCTTCCACAAGCATTTAGACTGTAAATACTATTTCATAAATTTGCTTAATATAAAAATGTTTGATGGAAGAGTATAGCATAGGGTGGATAAATGGTGATGGAAACAAATAAAAAAATAAATTTAAAAAATTTTAAGCTTTACACTTCTCACATGATTTTCATAAATACATGAAAATATAATGTTCTTATTTTAGACATCAGTCCACAAAACAACTAACATTGAACTTGACCAGGTACTTACCATACAGTCTTTGCAGGTACATAACTTGCTACGCCAGTTCAGGGGCCAAAAGGTGGCAGTGTCTTTCTTTATAAAATGCTTAGCTTTAAGCTCCTGAAGTTTGCAGCCAGTCTGTGATTCTGTATTGAGATGTTGATTCTTAAACACTGTCTGAAATAAAATTAAGTTTTGAAGTATGTTTTTTAAACTATCATGTTTTCATACTTTGATTTGTAAAAGGATTTCTTTAGGCAAAATATACCATTGAGATCCAAAACTATAGAGCTTACAGAATTAATTTTACTTAAGTTTTATTTCTTTTATGGCTCCTACTTCAGCTGTTACCTGGAGATCAGACTCAGAACTAGAGCTGGCACATGGTTCATTAGTCTGCTCTGCTTTAACTGCCTTGACAGCATCCTTTGCATGTTCTGGAACATCCTCTTTGAGGGGACTATCATGATGATCGCCATTTTCAGGTTTGGTAACTTCCTCATCACCTATCCCATCGACATTCAGCGCCAACCCATCATCCTCAGCAGATACTTTGGTTACTGTAGGTTCAATTAAAAAAAAAAAAAGCACAAAACACATGTCCACAGACCTATTAGACAATGAAATCACTTTATCTGATTAAAAAATATTTCAGAATCTGAAAAAGGAGTCAATCTTAATCTCTGAAATAATGAGAAAGAAAACATCTATATTTTTTAAAGTTATGCCTGCCAATCCAAAGAGTTCAAATAATTGAACAGTTTGTTTAAAAATATAATCACCACTTAAGCACTTTATATGTAAAGGAGAAAGAAAAACTCCACAGATGCTAAAGAGAGACGGGATACCTCAAGAAGCAAGAGGCAGTAGGAAGAGATTTAACTGCAATCACAAGTACCAGGGTAGTTTTTTATTTTTTATGGTCA